TTGTTCCATATCCAGTTCTAACTGTTGCTTCCTGTCCCACAGGCACTCCCATTGCTTTAAGAACTTACCATAGTTTGCTGTGGTCCACACAGTCAAAGGCTTTTGCATAGTCAATGAAGCAGAAGTAGATGTTTTTCTGGAACTCTCTGGCTTTCTCCATAATCCACCGCATGTTAGCAATTTGGTCTCTAGTTCCTCTGCCCCTTCGAAATCCAGCTTTTATTTCTGGGAGTTCTCAGTCAACATACTGCTGAAGCCTACCTTGGAGGGTTTTGAGCATAACCTTACTAGCATGTGAAATGAGTGCAATTGTACGGTAGTTGGAGCATTCTTTGGCACTGCCCTTCTTTGGGATTGAGATGTAGACTGCTAATCCTCTGGCCACTGTTGAGTTTTCCAAACTTGCTGGCATATTGAATGTAGCACTTTAACAGCATCATCTTTCAAGATTTTAAATAGTTCAACTGGAATGCCATCACCACCTTGTTGTTAGCCAGGCTTTCTAAGGCCCACTTGACTTCACTCTCCAGGATGTCTGGCTCAAGGTCAGCAACTACATTGTCTGGGTTGTCCAGGATATCTAAATCTGTCTGATATAATTCCTCTGTGTATTCTTGCCACCTCTTCTTGATGTCTTCTGCTTTTGTTATGTCCCTTCCATTTTTGTCCTTTATCATGTCCATCTTTGCACAAAAGATTCCTCTAATATCTCCAATTTTCCTGAACATTTTTCCTTTTCTGTTATTTTCCTCTATTTCTTTGCATTGTTCATTTAAGAAGGCCCTCTTGTCTCTCCTTGCTATTCTTTGGAAGTCTGCATTCAGTTTTCTGTAACTTTCCCTATCTCCCTTGCATTTTGTTTCCCTTCTCCTCTCTGCTATTTCTAAGGCCTTGTTGGACAGCCACTTTGCTTTCTTGCATTTCCTTTTCTTTGGAATGGTTTTTGTTGCTGCCTCCTGTACAATGTTACGAGCCTCTACCCAAGATGACACTCATGCCAGGGGGCTAATGCAATGAAATGTTCCTCCTTCCACCCTGCAGCCCTCAGTGTCAGCCATAAACTCACTCCAGAGGATTTCCCAACTCTCTGGATCTGATTATAGGGGTGCATGTAGAGATTGAGGGGCCAGGGTTCCGCTGATGGAAGCAATTCCACTAGCAGAGCCCACTGATTATCAAAGAAGTCTTTAAAAATCAGCATTACCTTAATCTTGGAAGCGACACAAGACATAGTAGACTTCCACCTGTACAATATACTGTACTTTATTGGCATAAGTATAATTCTGATATTTTATATCCCTTCCATCTGGGTTGCACCAGCAGGCAGGGAAGACCCAGACAAATGAGGTGGCTTACCTCAGCAGCTGTGTTCATTGCTCAGGAGCTGCCAGTGCAAAAGGACCACTTAAGGAAGGGAAGTGTTGCACTCCCTGCGACCTCCAGCTCACAGTGTGCTCTAAACTTCCTGCTCACCACTCATCTGTCCTGGTGGCCCAGTCCTTCCAAGGCCATGGACCAGGACTAGTCTATGGCCCAGGGGTTGGGGACCCCAGATGCAGTGGATAGAATGATGGACTATGACTCTGAAGAACACGGTTTGAAACCCCACTTCACCATGGAACTCACTGGAGGACTGGGACTGGTAAAACCGCTCCTTAAATATCTTGCTAAGCTTGAAAGACCTGTTAGTATTGCTATATCAGTTCTGACTTGACTGCACAGAACACACACACAAACACACACACATAAGTAATACTGATGGGCTTCTCCATTTTCTTACACCAAAAATCACTTTATATGAGCAATCTAACCTATTGATCCCTGATGCTGGGAAAGTGTGAAGGCAAGGGGACAGAGGACGAGATGGTAGGACAGTATCATTGAAGCTACCAATATGAATTTGACCAAACTCTGGGAGGCAGTGGAAGACAGGA